TCCACTCACCTCAGCCTCCCAAAGGTGCGGGATCACAGGCTGAGCCACCAAGCCCGGCTCTTTTTTATTTTTATTTTTTCTTGATGATGCATTAATCATGGACCTGAGGCTAGTTCTGTGCAGCATATGTTTGGGACCGTGGGAAGATATGTCTCCTTTCTAAATGCTGTTGTGTGTTGGTAGTTTCTCCTCCTTCAGCAAACAAACAGGTGGGCACTAGAAATGCTGGCTTCTTGGCCAGATGGTAGCTTCCCTGGTCTATACAACTTGCTGCAATATGGCAGGTGGTGAGACACAGCAGTATAGAGAGCTTATTCTCCATGTGGCACAAGGCATACTGGAATCTTGGGGGTGGGGGCATGAGGAGGTTTTCAAACCTTCTCTGTGCATCTGAGTCATTGAGAATTATTACTTAGAGAAAGGAGATTCAGCAAAACCTCTGTGGAGTCAAGTTAAAGTGCTATATCTGGTTGGTTTGGTGAAGAATTCTCCAGCAAGAAAAACTCTGGGAAAAAGAGACCTGGTGTAAGGAAAAAAAAAAAGACAAAATTCAGGGGAGTCCCTTCTTCCGAGGTTTCCAAGGGGCAGACCCAATGCGGAATGAAGACTGATGCCAGTTTAGAAGAGTTCCCCGAGTCAAGACTGAACACTGAGGGGCAGTGTGGGCAGGGCTAGGACGTTCCTCTGTTCAAGTTGGGCAAAGGAAAAAGGCCGCAGCCCAAGAAGCAAGAGCCGAAAGCAGGGTGGCAGAACAATTAGGGTGGAAGCAATGAAGATGTGAAAGTGGATTGGGCAGAGCATCTCATGTATACTTACTGGACTCCCCCAGACTGCTTTTCTTTGGCATTTTCCAGGGTCAGAGAGTGGCTGAACTCATCCTGCATCATGCTCGGGCCAGTGAGTGTAGGGATGTGGAAGGATTCAAAGCCGAGATGGCTATGCTGGTGACCCAGGCCAGGAAGAACACCATCACTCTGGAAAAGGTGGGCAAGTCCCTTAGGGCCAGGGACCTTGGGGTGTTCACCCTTTCCTTTGGATGGAGTAGATCCCAGGTGTAAGGAAGACCTCTTCATGGGGTGAGATCTCGAGGGGATGGGACTTTTACGGCAGGTAAAGAATACCCCATGCCTTCTAGGCGTGGAAGCCCAGTGAGGTTCTTGGCTCCCAGGGATGCGTCTTTGGCCAGGCTGCCATGGAAGTGAAGTGTAGGGGGCCACAGCCCCTCTGTCATACATGTGTGGTTTTCCTTCCAGGGACAGTTGAGCATGGAGGAGGACCGTGGTCCCCGAGCAGCTCGAGGATGTGCCCAGTGCTTATTTTGTCCTTAATCAGATGTGAGCCAGAGCCAGTTCTGCATTTACTTAGTTCTAACAGACATGACTGTTTTCTCCCCATGGTCCTGGACCACCTTAGCAGGAGTGGGTCAGAACAAGGAGTGGCCAATGGCACCATGGTACTGCTGATCTGGTCTATCCAGATATGATTTTGTGTGGTCGCTACGGGACTGGGATAGATGAATCTCAAAGGCTTGTCCTCCAAAGGCATCTGTGACTGAGTCTCAAGATGGGAGTTGGGCCTGTGTGGAAGTAGTCCTTTCTGGAGTTTGTCAGATAATCCCTTTCCCACTCACTGGTGGCGGGGGGTGGAGGTAGGTGGGAGAGTGTGGGTGGTGGAAAAGCGGCAGTCCGGAGCCTCCAGTCTGCTCTAAGCTTTCTTCTGGTTTCCAGCTTCACGTTTCCAGCCTTCTCTCCAGTGTCTTCAAGTTACTGATGACTCACAAGGTAAGGCCCAGTCAGAAGGGAGATCTCTGGGGAAGGCAGGGCAGGACAGGGGCACAGGGTGGTGGAAGGCGCTTCTCTTATATATCTTTTAGAAGTATTTCTAGTAACCAGCCATTTGCAGCCAGAGTACTAGTTTTACTTTCTGATATAGGCATAGCAGGGCCTTTCCTTCATGACATGGTGAGTCTGTGTATCTGTCAACTCTGTGTGGTCTAAGTCCTTAGATGTGGAAAAGTCTATTTTAAAATGTAGAAATGTGGCTCACGCCTATAATCCCAGCACTTTGGGAGGCTGCGGTGAGAGGACTGCCTGAGCCCATGGGTTCAAGATCAGCCTGGAAGACTTGGCGAGCCTCATCTTTACAATAAATGAAAACATTAACATGGTGGCGCATGCCTGTAGCTCCAGCTGCTTGGAAGGCTGATGCTCAACTCAGCAGGTTGAGGCTGCGGTGGCCGTGAGACTCCAACTCAAAAAAAAAAAATGTAGAAACGGGCCAAGCACAGTGACTCAAGCCTGCAATCCTAGCACTTTGGGAGGCCAAGGCAGGAGGATTGCTTGAGCCCAGGAGTTTGAGACCAGCCTGAGTAACCTCTCTGTACAAAAAATAAAAAAATTAGCAGGGCATGGTAGCACATGGTAGTCCCAGCTACTCCCTCCTAGCTAAGACAGGAAGATCACCTGAGCCCAGGACATCAAGGCTACAACAAGCCATGCCTATTCCACTGCATTCTAGCCTGGGCGACAGAGTGAAACCCTGACTCAAAAAAACTCCAAAATAGGCTGGACGCGGTGGCTCACGCCTGTAATCTCAGCACTTTGGGAGGCCGAAGTGAGAGGATTGCCTGAGTCCAGGGGTTCGAGGGCAGCCTGGCAGCTTGGCGAAACCTTATCTCTACAATAAATCAAAAACTTAATTGGGCATGGTAGCATGTGCCTGTAGTTCCATCTACTTGGAAGGCTGAGTGACCTGCCTGAGCCCAGCAGGTTGAGGCTGCGGTGGCCGTGAGCATGCCACTGCACTCCAGCCTGGGCGACAGAGTGAGACTCCAACTCAAAACAAAACAAAACAAAAAACAAAACAAACAAAAAAATCCCAAAAACCAAAAAGTCACAAAAACAGACTAACTCAGGGTTTTCATGCCTTTTCACTCCTTGGTTTATGTGAACGATGCTTGGTATTAATGTAAGTCATACTTAACATACTTAACTGAATGGGGTAAAGTCCTGGGGTCAGGGGGCTTCCTGAGAGGTGCCTCTTATCCTGGTGACTTCAGAGGCCTTAGAAAGACTGTCCTGGCCCCTGTCTTGCTGCTCTAGTCTTTTTATTGTTGTTGCTGCAGGACTTGCTGAGAGAACAGAAAAGCTCCCACAGTGGGAGGGGACCTGAAGGGGTTGCCCACTGCTCCAGTCTTTAGAACACAGGATGTTGGGTAGATAGATGCGGGTGGCTCAAGTCAGCTCTGTCGCCCACTGACACTTACCCACACAAGCCTCTCCAAGTCTGTGGGGCCACCATGAGAGCTGGACGATGTGATCTTCCTGTACAGAGAGGTTACTCAGGCTTGGAGAGGAGTTCCTAGCTCCTCCTGCTCGCCTTCTGTACCTAATTGAGCTGTATAACATTTCTTACTGTCCAATTTTATCCCCTCAGCATTCTAAGATGCAGGCACTAATGCTGAGAGGTTAAGCAGCTTGCTCATGGCCACATGGCTCGTTGTAGAGCCACGACTAGGCATCAGAGAGCCCCACCAACTAGCTTGTCCTCCTGCATCTGCTCTTCACACACCGAGTGGGGTAGGCTAGGAGGGCTTTGAGTGATGGCTGCCATTGTTATTCCTAGGATGTGGGAGCAGACAGAGGGTCTAGGATAAAGCTAAGTGTACTCTGAGCACTTCACTGGTCACTTATTTATTTTTGAGTTGGAGTCTCACTCCGTCACCCAGGTTGGAGTGTAGTGGCACACTCACGGCCACCCCAACATTGGCCTGCTGGGCTCCAGTGATCCTTCTGCCTCAGCTTCCAGGTAGCCGGAATACAGGCACACGCTACTATGCCTGACTAATATTTTTTTACTTATTGTGGAGATGAGGTCTCGCCAAGTTGCTGGGGCTGGTCTGGAACCCGCAGGCTCAGGCAATCCACTCACCTCAGCCTCCCAAAGTGCTGGGATTATAGGCTGAGCCACTGAGCCTGGCCTATTTTTTTTTTTTTTTTTGAAACAAGGTTTTGTTACGTTGCCCAGGGCTCCTGGGTTCAAGTGATCCTCCTGTTTCGGCCTCCCAAAGTGCTGGGATTACAGGCATGAGTCACTATGCCTAGCCAGTACTTACTTAAAAAAAAAAATTCATAAATTTTTAATTGTGGTAAAAACCACATAATAACATTGAACCCCCAACCATCTCCAAATGCATAGTCACCACTGTCCACCACAATCACATGGTTTGTGCAACAGATCACCAGAACTTTTTCACCTTGCAGACCTGCAACTCCATATCCATGTCCCCCCCACCTCAGCCACTGATAACTGCCATTCTACTTTATGTTTCCATGATGTTTTTTTTTTTAATTTATTTTTATTTATTTATTTATTTTTTTGAGTTGGAGTCTCACTCTGTTGCCCAGACTGGAATGCAGTGGCCGCTTCCGGCCACTGCAGCCTCAACCTGCTGGGCTCCGGCGATCCTTCCGCCTCAGCCTTCCAAGTAGGCAGAATTACAGGCATGTGCTACCACGCCCGGCTGATTTTTTGATTTTTTGTAGAGATGAGGTCTTGCTGCCCAGGCGGGTCTCGAACCTGCGGGCTCAGGCAGTCCACTCACCTCAGCCTCCCAAAGGCGCGGGATTATAGGTTGAGCCACTGAGCCCGGCTTATTTCCATGATTTTAACTACTCTAGATATCTTATATAAGTGGAATCATATAGCATATTGTCCCTTTGTGATTGGCTTATTTTACTCAATATAATGTCCTCAAGGTTTATCTGTGTGGAGCATGTGACAGGCTGAAGAATATTCCATTGTATGGAATATTTTTTGAGTCAGAGTCTCTCACTCTGTCACCCAGGCTGGTGTGCAGTAGCATGTTTACTACTACCTCAGCCTTGACCTTCTGTGCTCAGGCAATCCTTCCGCTTCAGCCTTCCAAGCAGCTGAAACCACAGGCATGTGCCATCACACCCAGCTAATTTTTTGATTTATTGTAGAGATGAGGTCTCGCCAAGTTGCCCAGGCGGGTCTCGAACCCGAGGGCTCAGGCAATCCACTCACCTCAGCCTCCCAAAGGCACGGGATTACAGGCTGAGCCACTGAGCCCGGCTAGAGAATGACCCTTATTTGAATGTATAGTTTCTGGGATGTCTGTGAAATGTCTGATTTTTTTTTTTTTTGAGTTGGAGTCTCACTCCTTCGCCCGGGCTGGGGTGCAGTGGTACACATGCTCATGGCCACCCCAGTGTCGACCTTCTGGGCTCCAGCGATCCTTCCGTTTCAACTACAGATGCGCGCTACCATGCCCGGCTATTTTTTATTTTACTGTAGAGACAAGGTCTCGCCAAGTTGCCCGGGCTGGTCTCGAACACGCGGGCTCAGGCAATCTACTTGTCTCAGCCTCCCAAAGTGCTGGGATTACAGGCTGAGCCACCGAACCCAGCTTGATTATTTTTAAATCATTCACTCATACACACAGACCTGAACTTAGAAAAGTTTATACCGCGTCCTGATATTTGTTCTGAATGTTTCTAGCAGATGGAAGATTGGGCAAGTAGATGAGGTGGTGGGAAATGATGAGGTAGAGACAGGAATGTCAGGGTGATGGTAAAAGTCCCATGAGCAGCTCCAAGAGGCCGAGAGGGGCAGGAACATGGCCTTCCAGGGTGCCTGTCTCTGTACCAGTGGGTTTTGGGAAGAACTACTGTTTCTCTGTTTCAGGTCAAGCTTGAGAGTAACTTTGCCTCGATTGTGTTCGCCATCATGGTGTTGGAGGGGCTTGGCCGCTCGCTGGACCCTAAACTGGACATCCTGGAGGCAGCAAGGCCCTTCCTTCTTACAGGACCAGTGTCCTCTCCATGACGAGAGCATGCGGCCTACAGTGGACCTTTGTCAGGGGCTAGAGGCCGTTCCGAGAGTCTCTCATGTGGCAGCTGGAACGTTTTCAAGTTGGGACCTTTGGAGGGCACACCATTGCTTTTACTCTGCTTTGGTTTCTGGGTCTGTCTAAAAGTTTTGGGTTACTTGGGGAGTAAAAGGAGGGAAGGGGGGCTATCCATTCAGTTGTGGAAACTGGGCCAGGGATACTGTTTCAGGGAAAATGTTCTGCAGTGGAAGACAATAGGTTTTCTCGTTTTTTCCTTTTCTTAACCACTATACTCCCTGGTCAGGTGGGTCCTGCTGGTGGTTTCCAAACTAACATTAAGGTTAGAAAATGCCATAAAATCCTGTTGACCCATGATTTCTAAGATTTCTTCCATTTTGCACCCTTATTGAAAATACACACATAGTGTTTATTTATAAATTTCATGCAGGTGCTACCACTACTAGCAGATCTCTCCCAGTACACTATATTCTTAGGGCAAATTTCACTGTCTTTCAAATTCTCTTCTTGATAATATTTAATATTTTTTTTTTTGCTGGGCACAGTGACTCACACCTGTAATCCCAGCACTTTGGGAGGCGGGTTGAGAAAATTGCCTGAGTCCAGGGGTTTGAGAACAGCCTGGGTAACTTGGTGAGACCTCATCTCTACAATATATAAAAAATTTAGCTGGGCATGGTGGTACACGCCTGTAGTTCCAGCTACTTGGAAAGGCTAAGGCAGGATTGTCTGAGTCCAGCGAGCCAGGGCTGTGATGGCTTGTTAAGTGTGCCACTGCACTCCAGTCTGGGCGACAGAGTGAGACATCTACAAAATATATATTACCTGAGTCCCTGCTAAATTTTATCATGAAGTAAAACAAAACCGATTCACATGGCTGATGTCCTGGGGACAGGAGCAGAACAACTCAGCCACATCCTCAGTGTCCCTGGGTTCACATGGTGGTGCTCAGACTGCTTTCTCTGTAGCAGCATCTGCCTCTGTCATGCAAGGATTCATTCTGGTTAATATGAACACCAATCTTCTCCACCAAGGCAGCACTCAGCGACACATCTGCTGTGACTGCTGCCGCTCCTCTCTGCCAGGCCCACCCACAGGCTGACCTCTCAGAGCTGACCTAACATGAAGCCGGGTCACATGGACTGCAAAGGTCCTGTAGGGGGGATATTAGTAAAGCTTAAATTTTTTTAAAGATAAAAATTGCATTTTATCCCTGCACCCTTGTGGATCAGACTGCTTGTCTTGGAGACCACTGCCTTAGACAGTGAGAAGAAAGTCAAGTCTTCTGCTCTCTGAAAGCACTGTCTGACTGTGGAACTTTCCATTCTCTCCTTCTCCAGGATGATGTTCCTCATTCCTGTCTTTCAAGGAATGAGTACAGTTTAGGTGGACAGATATCCTTTTGATGCAGTTTTTTCTAGTGGGGTGGAGATGTTATTTTCCTTTCCCAAGTTTTGAGGGTACATTCTAGTCAGGCAGAGTGGGGTTGGGGCAGCTTCAGATCGCTGGGAGAGGGACACCAACCAGGCACATGGCCCCTTGTGCCAGGCACACATTCAGGTACAGTGTGGAGGCAGGAGGCAGGCACATATAGAGCAGGCGCCTCTCAGAGCCTCTGCTGGCATCACCGGGCCTTTCCTTAAAGCCAGTGGATTTATTCAAGCCATTTGTGCCTGCATTAGTCATCTACTGCTGTGTACAAACCATCTCAATTCTCAGTGGCTTAAAACAACATTAATTTTAAGGCTTAACGTTTCTGCGGGTCAGACATCAGGGTGCAGTGAAGTTGGGTCTCCTGACTTGGTCTCTCCTAAGGCTGCGGCATCTCCAGGCACCACTGGGGCGGGTTGGCTGCCAATCTCACATGGGGGTATTGGACCCACGGCCTAAGTTCCTTGGGAACTGCTATAGCAGTAATAGAACACAGGAACCCGGGCATGGTGGCTCACACCTATAATCCCAGCACTTTGAAAGGTCGCAATGAGAGGATTGCCTGAGTCCACGGGTTCAAGACCAGCCTGGGCAACTTGGCAAGACCTCATCTCTACAGGAAACCAAGAAAAATTAGTTGGGCGTGAAGGTGCATGCTTGTAGTTCCAGCTATTTGGAAGGCTGAGGTGTTAGGATTACCTGAGCCCAGCAGGTTGAGCATGCCACTGCATGCCAGCTTGGGCAACAGTGAGACTCTGAGTTAAAAAAAAAAAACAAAAAAAAAAACCAAACAAAACAAAACCAACCCCCCTCAAAAAACCCCCACAGGCTATACTGAAGAGGAGAAGGATGGTAACAGATTAACAATATGGACAGGTGATTTGCTGCTTTAAAAAGTAAGTATCTAGGCCGGACGGTGGCTCATACCTATAATCCCAGCACTTTGGGAGGCCGAGGTGAGAGGACTGCCACAGGTTCGAGACCAGACTAGACAACTTGGTGAGACCTCATCTCTACAATAAATCCAAAAATTAGCCAGGCATGGTGGCACATGCCTGTCATTCCAGCTACTTGAAAGGCTGAGGTGGAAGGATCGCCTGAGTCCAGCAGGTCAAGGCTGCGGTGTCCGTGAGCATGCCACTGAACTCCAGGCTGGGTGGCAGAGTAAGACTCTGATTCAAAAAAAATAAAATAGGCCGAGCTCAGTGGCTCAGCCTGTAACCCCAGCACTTTGGGAGGCTGAGGTGAGTGGACTGCCTGAGCCCACAGGTTCAAGACCAGCCTGGGCAACTTGGTGAGACCTCATCTCTACAATAAATCAAAAGTTAGGCGGGCATGGTATCATGTGCCTGTAGTTCTGGTTACTTAGAAGACTGAGACGGAAGGATCACTAGAGGCCAGCAGGTAGACACTGGGGTCGCCTTGAACATGCCACTGCACTCAAGCCTGGGCGACAAGTGAGACTTTAAATAAAAAAAAATAAGTATCTAGCTGGATGCGGTGGCTCATGTCTGTGGTCCCAGCCCTTTGGGAGATCCAGGAGGAAGGATTACTTGAGTCCAGGAGTTAGAGACCAGCCTGGGCAACATAGCAAGATCTTGTCTCTACAAAAAAATTAAAAAAGATTTTTGGGGGTGGTGGTGCATGCTTGTAGTCCCAGCTACTTGGGAGGCTGAGGTGGAAGGCTTGCTTGAGCCCAGGAGGTCAAAGCTTCGGTGAGCCATGATGGTGCCACTGCACTCCAGCCTGGGCGACAGACAAAAAAAAAAAGGTACCTTAAAATAAGTATTTTAGACTAGTGTTTGAAAATGCATTTAACTTATAAAGTCATCTTAAGGAGAAAAGGCGACGTCCTTGGGTGTGGGGGGGTAAAAGTGGCCATCTGGTATTTCTCCTGAAGAGTGACCACAACTCAGTCCCTTCTCAAGGAGCAAGTCCAAGGTTCATTTCAGTGTCACTAAAACTAATTGGAGAAATAATTTTTTTTCAAGATTCACTGGGAGAGGGAGATAAAGTGAGTCAGTAGAAAATTCAATCAACATGAAGTTTGTGAACTTTTTTTCCCCCCTCATCCTCTTGCTCTGTTGTCTACTTCTAGCTATGGAATAGTTTCTTGATTTGGGGTTAGATGCTGTCTGTTAGGTCACTTAGAGTCTATCCTCATAGTACAATTTGGGAATCTGATTTGCATTTAGAAGCTGAGCCAGGCTTGGCATCTCTTCCCTTACCAGAAATACACCCATTTAAATAGGGTGCTCTTCTGATAACCAACAAGGCCAGTTTGCAACCTATAAAAGGCAGTAAGGGATATCTGCCTTCACAGTTCCAACAGCATGTCTGGAACACAACTATGTGTCACTGTTACACAAGCAAAATAGTTTATTGAAGACCATAAACAATTTTTAACTTTATTTTTTTAAGAGACAGTGTCTTGCTCTGTTGCCCAGGTTGGAGTGCAGTGGTGCAGTCACAGCTCACTGCAACCTTGAACTCCTGAGATCATCCTGCCTCAGCCTCCCAAGTAGCTGGGACCACAGGCACACACCAACATGCCTGGCTAATTAAAAAAAGGGTTTTTTTTGTTTTTTGTTTTTTTCAGAGATGAGGTCTTTCTACGTTTTCCAGGCTGGTCTTAAACTCTTGAGATCAAGTGATCCTCCTGCCTTGGCCTCCCAAAACTCTGAGATTACAGAGGTGAGCCATTGTAACAGGCCTGAGATTACAAACTATTTATAGTAAATCGGAATATGTGATGTAAAAGATTAAAGCCAAGAACCCATATATGGTATTTATAGATCAATATTGCTTTAAATATAGCACTAAAGACAAACTGGGTTTTTGTTTTTTTTGGTAAATTAGTAAGGAAAATGGGGAAGGTGAATGAATTTGAGTTCATCTCACTTTGCTCCTGGAAAGAAAGAGCTGACATGAGTTCATGCTATAGGTCAGATGAGGGACACTGACACTCAGGTAAAGTGACTTGTCCACATTCATAGAGCTAATCGGCAGAGTTGAGGTGTGAACTCCAAATTTTCAGACACCCAAGTTCTATGCCTTTTGAATTTAAGTTGTGTTTTTCCTGTGGCCTTGGCATCATGGCATTGCTCCTTGCTGGGAACAAGTCTGCTATGTATCTTGGGCAGTGAACTCTGTAGGAAGGACAGAAAGCTCCTGTCTACCCGACTCCAAGACTTCAAATCTTAGTAGTTTATATGTGTCACCTCCAAGGGTAACTGGTGAAATGGTAGCCCAGAGAAAGCCACACTACACTGTATCAACTGGAAAGTCAGCTTTCATCCAGAAAATAGTGGATGCTTCTCCTCAAATTTATATACCACTTAGAAATTAGGAGGGTTCAGGTGATCCTTCACCTCAGCCTCCCAAGTAGCTGGGACTACCGTGCTTGCCACCAAGCTTGGCTAATTTTTAAAAATTAGAGATGAGGTCTCGCTATGGTGCTTAGGTTGGTCTTGAACTCCTATGCTCAAGCAATCCTCCTATTTCAGTTTTCCAAATTGCTGGGCGGTCCAGGCTGTGGTGAGTTGTGATCATGCCACTACACTCCAGCCTGGGTGACAGAGCGAGATCCTGACTGCAAAAAAAAGAACAACAAAAACCAAAAAAGTCAGGAGGGCAGGAGAACACACAGAGAGTCCTACCACATCAGAGAGTCAACCAACAGGCTGTTTCAGAAGGGTACTTGACAAGAGGGCACACAGAGTCCTACCTCTTGGCACAGAAGGCGGAGTATCAGTCATATTCAGTGCACTCACATCCCTAGGTTCAGGTCTATACTTCTCTTCAAAGTATCCTTTTTATCATTCTGTGACTTTGTGAAGTCTTCAGTGTCAAACAACAGGGAACTTAGCAAGTAGATCAATTTCAAAATGAAATCTCCAAGATACGTTTATAATTTAACCAAACCTGGAGGTTCTGAGAAAAGCTATAACCCATAAAGGGAGAGCCTAAGACTCTGGAATCTGCAGGGAGTCCAGTTAGATTTGGAGGCCATCTAGGGTTGAACAGAAGGTAATATTAAGAGACAAATGTCAGCTTGGGCGACTGAGGTAGAAGGGTCGCCTGCGGTAACTGTGATTGTGTCACTGCACTCCAGCCTGGGCGAGAGTGATTCCTACTAAAAAAAAAAAAAAAAAGGAAAAACAAAACAAAACAGGCACATATGTCAGGAATCCAGAGCTTGCTAAGGATCAAGGAATTAGAAGCAGTCTTTTTTTTTTTTTTTTTTTTTGAGTCTCTCCTGCCTAGGCTGGAGTGCAGTGGCATGCTCAGCTACCGCAGCCTCGACCTGCAGGGCTCAGGTGATCCCCTTCAGCCTTCCAAGTAGCTGGAACTACAGGAACGCGCCACTACGCCCGGCTAATTTTTTGATTTATTGTAGAGATGAGGTCTCGCCATGTTTCCCGGGCTGGTCTCAAACCCCTGGGCTCAAGCAAATCCTCTCACCTCAGCCTCCCAAAGTGCTGGGATTACAGGCGTGAGCAACATCGCCCGGCAGAATTATCCTAGACTTAATCACAGCATTTGGGGTTGGCCTCCTTAGGCGATTCTGAGAACACCTGTCCATGTCCTGATATCTGGGAGCCAGCGGCTGCTGGTGAGTTCACGTTTTCAGGGCAATAATAAAACAATGAAGACAGCAGACGCGTCGTGAGCCTCTTGGAGAAGACTGCAGGAGACTCCTTTGGGAAGGCCCCCTGGCTCAGAAAGCCTCTGGCGGCGAGATGCGAGGGTCTGGCAGGCAATGGTACAAGCGGAGCAGGCAGAGTGGCAGGTGCAAGAGTGAAAACACGGCCTAGATCAGCAAAGGCTGGGAGGAGCGAGTTCGACTTAGTGTTGGACTTAGCACAAGTGTGGGAGTCGAGGGTCGCGACATCTGGCTGAGGAGTTTACGATAGAGGCGACTGCAGTTGTAGGGAGCCTTCACCCGGAGACGTCACGTGGCCGTCTTTAATTCTCGAGGCCTCCCCGAGCTCAGTCCCGCCCGCCCTGGGCGTGGAGTCGCGGCTCCTCCCAGCCGCCGCCGGAGCTCGTCCAAGCCATTCGCGAGTTCGGCAGGAGTCTCGAAACGCCGGCCACGCAGGAGAGGCGCTGCCAGAGCGCGGACCCCAGCAGCGGCTTAGCGGGAAGACACCAAAGCGCTAATCAGGGTCGGGAGAGGCAGCAGACCTCAAGCCTCCGCCGGCTGGGCGACGGCGCTGACGTCACGGGCGCGGCGTGGCGTGGCGCCGGGGAAACTGACGTGTGAGGGAGGGTCGAGGAGGAAGTGACGTAACGGGGACGGGGTGGCTGGGACTGCGGTGCGTACGCGGGTAGCATGTCGGTCCTGACTCGGCTGACGCCTTTCGTTCGCGTGGGAGGCCGCCTCTTCAGAGGCT